TTGAATTGTATTTGAAACAAAATTTTTAAAAAGCTTGATTGCAGTCAAGATATACCGCATCTGTTCTTCCCCTCCCACTGCAGATTCACAGGGATTGTTACTATGTCATAGGCAATCCAGTTTTGTAGGCATGTTTTGCTCATGACAAATTCTTGTTCAGAGGGATAATGGTGCAACTGGGCATCCTACAGTGGTTGCTACACATAGTGTCAGTAGTAACTTTTGGTGGCTGTCACAGCTATAATGATGTGGCTGTACCAGCAGCCTTTTTTTTTTCCTGCCCTCCTCCTCCAATACCAGTCAACACCCAGGACAGTTGCCCCACTTGCCTTGACCATAATTATACCACTGTTCTTGTTGACTGTTCATTTTCTCCTTCTAATCATCTAGGAGTTTGGAAATAGTGTCCTTGCTGATGTGCTCCTATATCTTCCCAGGTCTTAAAGTTTAAAGATGGTACTATATTTTCCCCTTTCCAGTTTTCTGAGGTTTAACATGATTTCCCTGAGGCCTCAAAGATACAGGCCGGTGGCCTGTAATTACTTGAGCCAGTTCCTTACATACTCTGGTCCTCTTGATTTGAAAACATCTAGTTTGTCTAAGTAAATCCTAACTTGTTCTTTCTCTCCCAGGCTGAATACCTACACTCTTCCCTTCCTTGATGCTAATTGTACTAGTCAGCTGACAGTTTGACCTTTTTGTGAAAAGAGAAATAAAAAAGACATTAAGCATCTCTGCCTTTGCTGCATCATCTATTATTGGCTTCTGCTCCCCATTCAATAAGGGACCTTCACTTTCCTCAAATTTTCCTCTTGCTTCTCATATATTTATAGAATGCTTTATATTTATTTCAGCTAGCAACAGACAAAGGCATTTCAGTTTCTGCCTTTGTCTTCCTGATTTTGTCCCCACAGAAGAACTATATCACTAAGAAAGAAGGTAAGATTTTGTATGACACATTTGTAAGTTTTTTAAATCATTGAAGAGCCCACAGCTTAGCCAGACAGTCTCTTCCTCCCCTTCCTGTCCTTCCTGTACCTGTTCCTGTGACCTTAATATTGTCTCTTTAAATAGCAGTGAACTGTCCTGTGCTCTTTCCCCCTTCTACCTGCCTCTTATGGGATCCTGCCTACCTCTTTTCAGTGTCAAATCTCTCTCTGTTGAAATTTTCAGTAAAATCGCTTTCTTCCCCACAGATGCTGGACCTTGATCTAGCATAGAACTGGTCTCTCCCTGCTCCCCCCTCC